TTTATATTTTATATTTTATATTTTATATTTTATATTTTATATTTTATATTTTATATTATTATTTGTAGTACACATAGGGCCAAAAAATTTCGGACAGGAATGTCAACCTACTGACATAATCTCTAAAACGGACTTTAATTTATTAACCTCACACATGGATCGACATTTACTTGACTTTCAAATATGTTATGGTGACAATAAAAGATGGTTTGGACCACAAATTTTTGTATTGGCAGAAAAGTCGTGTCCGAAATTCCGTGTCCCAAACTGTAGATACACCGAAATCGATGAAAATTTGGTCAAAATAAAAAAAAAACTTCAAAAAGTGCACAAAACGTTGTAGAAACAATAAATTTTCTGTTTGAATGATTACATTGATTTAAAGCAGAGTCACAGGCCGGCGACATAGTAGCGCAGTGGCAGTAGCTGCGTTTAAGATTTGACATCTGTCATTAATATCAACAAGACGTTAGAATAGTAGAGTACCTACTTTTTGATTAGCAGGTAGAGTAATTTTTAGAACGATATAATTATTTTTTATTGTAACAATTAAAAAAGTTAACAATTACTTAATTTTTCGTACTTGATTCCACTTTTGTAAGTTGGTACTTCCAAAACCAATAAAAACGCCATTTGTGACAATAGCTATAACCAAGGCTAACCATGCTAGTCTCCTATATTGTCCAATCGTACCCTAAAGAATAAAAAATAAATAAAAAACGGTTAAATCCCGACTAAACTCACATCTGGAACAAGAACATGCAATATATAATCTTGAAAAAACCCCGTAAACATCCCAAATCCATTGCCTAAGGCCATTAAAAATCCACAATAATTGGGCGCCATATCCAAAGGCATGAGAAAACTCCCCAAACAAATAAACTCCGTCAAAGTCTTGGAAATTAAAAACAAAATTTGGGCCCCTAGCCGATTACAACCAGCATAAGACGCAGTCAGCATGTAAATGGGTGGTCCCATCAACCCTATAGTATTGAAAACTTTGCGAACGGTTAAACGGTTAATATACCCATGATGGAGGACCCAATCAGAGAAAAAAGCCATCGCTGTCATGGTCAAAATCAAGGCAAAATTTGGTATGTTACTCATAATTCTGGTCTCGCTATCATTGTATTTCAAAACCTCTTGTAAGTAGATTGGGACAAGATTTGAGAGGAGGTTCCATATCCATAAATTCCCTATGGAGGCAACAACGAAGGCCCAGACCGGAATTGAGGTCAATATTTGGGAAAAAGGGATGGTTTTGGGACGGTGGTCGACCAAACCCTCTGGGAAATAGTCAAATGAGTGGAAAAGAAATAAAACAAAGTGGGTTTTTACTCATCTCGATTTCAAGGTACAAACGTTCGTTGGGTTGAATTCTTGGGTTTTTGTTGGGACTGGAAAAGACCAAAAGCTCCCATAATAGTGTCACAATAATCCCAATTGCTCCATAGATGTAGAATGGAGTCTTCCAATTAAGAAACGCGTTGATTATCAAATGTGTACACATACTGCTTATTATATCCCCGACATAAAGCCCCGAGTAGGCCAAAATAATCAGAAATGTTTGTTCAGAAAGTGGTACCCAATGGGCAAGGATATGGAAGCCTGATGGGTACAAAAGGCCTTGACACAAACCATAAGTTGTTGATAGAATTTTCATTGCTGTTGCACTACCATTGATTACTTGTATGTACCATGGGATGATTATGGTCAAAACTGATGCCAGAAACAGTCCAAGAGCTACCATTTGTTTACCCCCATACATATTCGCAAAAATTCCACCAATCAAATTCGAAATTGGGTAACCCAAATGGAAATAAGTATAAATCGAGTCAAAGTCGCTCTGTTTCCAAATCACAGTTTTCTCAAATTTCTGAAAGAGTCAATGAGAGTGGATCAGAAAATGGAGTTGTTTTACTTGAAAGAAATTCTCCTCCTCTTTTCGAACCAAATCGGGACAAGTTCCTTTCAAATCATGGGTTCTATTTATGGTCACTATGTTTGCAAAGTAATCGTCAGCCACGAGGATGGTATCGCGAGAACTAAAAGTTGACACATAAACCAGGAAAACCATTAGGGTTACAATATAGCGTTGAGGGACACTTGGACAGCCTGAAAGACAGTTCCAGGAGGGTTATTACCAAAATTTGCTTACTTCTAGGAGGGGAATCGTCGATTTCGTCATCAGTTTCGTCATTCATTTTGCCGATTTTTGACAATGTCACTTTTAAACAGTTGAAAAGTTTTTACTCGAAATCTCGAATTTTGCAGGCAGTCAAGCTTTCAAAATTGAGACTTTATTCAAATCGGTCAAAATTTGCTCGAGTCACTAGAAAAAAAGTGGTGTCACAAATCATTTCAATGTTGTCGGAATTTAAGTATAGTTTATATTAACTATATGTAAAAAAAAACAAAGTTTGTAATAAACGAGAATTGTAGAACTAATTCCAATATTCCAATTCCAAAAACTCAATAATCCATTGTGATTCCATCATTTTTAGATTAATCCCTGTATAATTCTAACTTAATTTTCGTAATTCCAAAATGATTTCAATAGTTCTAAAAAATTAAACATAATTTTGGAAAAAAATTATTTCTTATAATACTAAAAATAT